GGGGCTATGAGAGGCAAGTAGAATAAACTATTTCGGACATGAAATATTGTTCCCTATTCACCACCATGCACGAGTAGAGGTCCCCTCCATTTCCCATAGGGAATAGATATCTCCATTTCCCATAGGGAATAGATATCTCCATTTCCCATGGGAAATTGACATCTCCCTTTCTATGGTTTTGTGTGTAAAATCATGCACATTTCTCTGCAGTACCTATGTCCAGCATTGGTAATAGGCACCTCTGGGAAGGGATTAGGGACACATTACACTCAATTATTTAATTCAAATAAACAACCAACTTACAGCTTAACCAGCCCACTTTTTATACATTAAAAGCATTTATATTCATGTATTTGTGAGAGTCATTCAAACATAGACATAACATTATAAAGACTTTCTAGTCTCTATATCAAATGCGATTTACCTTGTTGCGAGAAACCATGACAACTTTTTTTGAAGCTGAAAACAAAACCCAGAAGTTAATAATCTGACCAGTTGAGTATAAACCAACAGCCCACAAAATATAAGATGAGTCGAATAAATAAGTTCTAGAACTCATGGAAGTTCAGAATGAACATAGGCAAGATAAACAAGCATTTGAAATGTTTATCCACTCATTCGATGCCTCAAACCAATTTTTAGTTTCAACTATAACTAAAATTCTTTCAAATAATGTTAATGAAAAACAAACTCCTAATTTTGAAAACTAGTTAACAAAAATTACACTTTAGGGATGCTCTTCCCAATTAGCAAAAAGATTGCAAGGATCTACGCAGAATAGTGAATACAGAGAGTGCAGACATAGACATACAGTCATGAGTTTGGAACCCTGGAACCGCAGGAGAAGATGGGACTTTGGTGTTCGCACCAGCAGGGCTGGACTTTCGGTTAGATTTCTGAATTGAAGCTCTTACATCCTCAAACAAATCACCGTCCACCTCCGCACTCTCAAAAGTCAAACTATCACTCGCTAAAGTAGATATGGACTCACACGACTTGTACACATCCTCTTGTATATCAGGTAATTCATGCTTCTCATCCTTCTCAACGCCTTCAATTATACTAGACAACTCCTCAGCATCCAAAACCCCTGGAAAACACGTATTAATCAAACACAAAAAACTACTCAACATCCAACAAAATAACAAAAGTACAAAAATACCGGCGCTGGTGAAAAAGGCACTGTCCCAGGCCAAACTCTTGCGCAAATTGCATTTGCTATTTTTCTTAGGTTTTTCGCTTCCGTACGCGCCATTGGAGTGAGGCTCGTGCTCCCACTGCTGGACTTTGATGGCGGCGTCTTCGAAATTCTTCGAGTTCGGGGTGCACAACAAATCCCCGTGCGCTTGATTTTCTGAAATGGAAGATTTGAACGCGTTTCACTTGATCTTGAATCTCGATGCATACAACGAGCAAATAATTCAGAAGAATCGGTGTCGTTTGTACTCAAATGAGAAAAAGAAATATAACCTGAATGGTGATGGAGAGCGTTTCCTTCGAGAAGCGAGTCATCGGCGGAAGAAACGTCGATGATGCTGAGACGTCGGTCTTGGGCGGCCCTCTTTCTCAGGGAACTCGCCGGTTCGGAAATCATCGATCCCTAATCGAAGGAATTGAGAAGGGGAAAGATGAGAGAGATAGAGAGAGTGTGTGAAAGGTTTTGCTTTTGGAAATTTTGAACTTTGAAGAAGCGGCTAAAGTGATTCCACTTCAACACTTCTAACCAAACAGTGGAAATAAAGAAAATTTGATCGTTTGAAAATATTAAAATTAAATAAAAATTAAAAGTGTAAGAGCGTCACTCGATCCCTAATATATTTTATAAAATCCACTGGTTCGTAATTTTTTCCCTTTCTGAAAAATTCTCAGTGTTTTATTTCTAGTTTTTAGTTTATGTTTTGATAAATTATTTTTATTATGTTGACGTGTAAAATTTAGTTTAATATTCACTTATATTATTAAATATTAACAAATATCATCAGGAGTAATAATCAGGTTACTTTTTCAATTAAAATTCATTCTTTTGAATTAATATCGACAATGTTTTTTTTAACTAAAATTAGTTAATATTATTTTTTTACGTGGTTAGTTACATTTGTTTTTAATTTATTTAAAAAATTGTGAAACCATATCAACGAAGAATGTTAATCGAGATGGATTGAAATTGGAATTCAGTCTTTTTGAAAAGTTCATGTCAAATTTATTTTATATTTTAGTATTGCATTAAATATATCTTTAATAGTTTTTTTAAAATGTATAATACGTAAATTAAAAGATCTGCCCATCTAGTTGACACGTATGTTAAAAAAATCTTTTTTTTTCTTAAATTTTCTTCTGAGATTTTTTTTTTCATTTTTTATCTCACTCATGTGTTCCCAAGTCACTCCTTCAGTATGTCTTTTCTGTTCACCAAATACAACACTAACTACCACTACCACCACTATTGGTATTTACATCCTCGTTTTTTTTTCAACAACATACAAGAAACCTAGCGAAAACACCAAGTCTCTCTATTAAGTTATAATAGTGTCGCCACCTATGTCCACTGTTATCACCAGTCGGTGGTTATGTTATTGACATTGTTCTACTTTTCTTCTTTGTCTATACACAAGTTATTTACTTGTCCCTTGTCGAGATATGTCGTTATCAGAGTCACTTTTATCGTTCACCCCATCATGAATGAGAGGTGGATTGCTCCTCCATGCATGGACGTTGCCATGTTACCACATGATTAAACAAGAAAGAGTGATTTTTAAACAAATACCCACTTTACAAACTTTATAATCGCACTCAAGGCTGCAAAAATGAAGAAAAGACTCACCTATAGGGTTATACTGCCATTGAGTATCCTTGAACAACAAAGAAACCACCATTGAGCTCCAGGCTAAGTGGTTGGGTAAGTTGGTTTCTCAGTGGGTGAAAATGACAATCCAAACTTGTAGTATTTGAGTCACCAGACAAAAATATGGCTCGTTTAACAAGTTACAAGTTATAGGCATCAATTTTTAGGTCTTGTTATATGAAAATGAAGCAAATGGATCAGTCTCTCAGTTCTAATATGTGAAAGTAGATATTTACTCATTTTTGCGAGAGTTTCAATTATTTCTCATTTTTACATGAATAGAATCACTAGGATGCTTGAGAGATGATCTTGGAGGCTGTTTAAAGTGTTATAAAGCTTTCCCTCCTTCTTGGATTTCGTCCATCATCCATGGTGGTTTTTCCCTTTTGGGGTCAAAGAGGAAGATGTGTTACAAATTGAAAGTGTTGATGTGAAGGACATGCGTAATTGGAGCATGAAGCAACTACTAAGAACCTTTGAAGAAACTTACATATTCTCTTTGGTTTTCATTTCCTCCATATCTCTTCAATTTGTAAAACCCTAAGTTCTCTATCATGGAAAGTTAATCTTGTTTGTTGATATTAGATGTAATAAATTGAATCTTTTGAATTCTGTGATGTTAATACATATGCTTTTTCATTTCAAAATTAGTATTTGATTTATATGTTTAATGCTTGTTGTGGCTTGATCACTCAAAATTTGTGATTCTTAATATATGGGGAAATATGACTTGAACCTAAAACTTAAATTGAATGCCTAATGTGACTCGTATCTAGGGATAAAATATGATTCATTGATAATCTTAAGTCTTAAGACTCTTAACTTAATGCATGTTTGTTTGTTGAATATTGAATTTGATGAGTTATCAGATACTCAAAGTTGTCATAGATATGATTTAAGTATGTTGGTGAGTTTATTTGGACTTGAATATTAATTTAAAATGTTTGTGAATCCATGATAATGAAGTTGATGAAATCTAATTTTAACAATTGTAAATACTTTATATTACATTTTTTGTGTATATACCAATTGTTTGATGAAAATAATTAAAAGAGTTTTTTTTTTTTTTTGTGAAGTTTGGGATTTAATTGAATTATAAAGTGCAATAATTAATTAATCTAGAGTTGTCTACGGGGTCATTAAGTGTGATGTCCCTTGTCTTGCCCCCTAAAACTTTTGAGCTACAATAATTGCAACTGACATTCCACTTTCCATATATTTTTTGTCTCTTAAAATGATTCATATGACTGAAGTGCATATTTTTCCAACTGTTATTTTCTGTTTGAAATGAACTTTCAGTTTCTACGTTAATAAGAATGTTATTTGATTCTCCTGCATTTGATTAACTACCATTAGAGATATTTTTCACTTGTTCTTCACCTTCTCTAGAGTAGAAAATTGTTCTATAAACATCTTAAAACAACAAAACAATACATATTTAATTACTAAATTAAATAATTATATCAATTCTTAAGTAGACAAAATTTAAAACTTGGAAGACCTTTTGTCAAAATTGTTGACACACAAAAACATTTCCAATAAAGTCTATATGAATGTAATGAGCTCAACTTAAACACAAGAGTAACATTTAAAGATTCTAAAGCAAATAAAAAATACTGGTTACCACGAGGATGAAAGGAAAAAGATAGATAAAGTGATTAAGTTGACACTACTGCACCATCCTAATGGAAATAGAAAAATAATCAAAAACTTGTTGACAAAGCCTTTAATTAACACTTGCCTTCGTTTCTAATGTTAACATATCTTCTATGTTCTCTCTTACTAAAGCCACACTAATTTCCCATTCATCATTCTCTCAAACCTAAAAGCAAAATCAATTTTAACAACGAACTCGTACTTATACATTTTCAATCTCAACCATAAAATCCAAAATTGATTAACTTCATATCGCAATAGATTCAATTGTTTTCGAGATATAAATATAAAATATGTGCAAACATGGAAAGATGGTAAGGGTTGTAGTTGGAAAACAATAAAGGAAGGTTAAAAATAAATAAGAGATATGTAGTCGTAGAGAAAAATTCATGTCACTCACTTTTTATTAATATATATAGAAGCCCATAACATTGTTTGTTGTAGGTTTTTGGCGCCGCATATTTATTTTTTTAATTTTCCCGCCAAGAAAAAAAATGAACTTTCTCATTCTCACCAAAAGCTTTTGCGTATAAAAGAAAGGCGACGAAGAACGCAATCGAAGACAAGATGCACGGAACACCAGAAGAAGAGACGGTGCAGAGGATCGGATGCGTATCCGTGGACCCATTCGGGTTAATGGAAGTACTCGACTTTTACTTTCCTGAACAGCTCTTCACCGTCGAGAAAACCTGGAACAATCTCGCTTCCTCTCTTTTTTCATTCTTTTCTTCACTGGTGGGACAAAACCTTGTTTCTCAGGTTTCGCAATCTCTCTTCCGTCTTTAAATCTTTTCCTCCATGTTATTATTGCGATATATTTGTTCAATCCATTCACTGCGGAACTTGCGAATTCAATTTTTAAATAACAGACCTGGATCATGTTTCTGATTTGCGTTTGCCGTATTGAATTGTCTAACTGCTACATATGTCGTCAAAACAAGCTATGAATGTTTAACGAACAGCAGAAACATCATCTGTTTCTACTGAATTATACTTGTTTCTTAGTATCTTATGGACACTGGTGGTGAATAAATAAAGTAGAAAAACAGAATAAGATTTGGTTTGATTTCTATGCACTGCTACAAACAACTCAGTATTTACCGTTGTTAAGTTAGTTATGTAAAAGGTAACAAACTTACCATGCATGACAGTTTATGATTAGATTACATTGGAAAAGTTCTTTACACTCTCAATGGATAGACTATTTGCTTATAAGGATTAGTTAACAGTGTAAAATTTTCCTTGTTAAATCAGTGTTTGATAACTTTAATTTGTGAAAACACGGGGAGGAGACAAACAAATAGAATCATTATTCTTTTGGATTTTAAAGCTTTCTTGACTCCTAGTGTTGGATACAGTGTTATATTTGCCTGTGTGTTCTCCTGGGGATAATTTTTGGGTTCCAACAGGTGAAAAGTGGTTATGGAAACAATACCTTGTCGCTTGACTTTCAGCAGTTCCAACAGATTTATCATGATGAGGAATTTTATAAAATGTTAGAGGAGAAACCTAAAATTGCTCTCACATGCATGAATGCTGCTGTACATAAGGTATGCTTGAAGTCACTTCCGTTGTTGCGCAAATAAATGCTTGTTTAATGTTGGCCAGGGTTTTATATTATTTAAATAATAAATTGGAAACAGGTTTTGCTTTCCAACTGGGAGAATCACAATCTGGTGCTTGGTGCAAAGGTTGATGTTCGTCTTCATAACTGTCCTAAAACTATGATTGCGCTGAAGAACTTAAAAGCAGCTTACATTGGTATATCAGAAAATCATTATAGTCGTTTTCATATTTTTATTTATTTTTTGGTTGGTTGCCATGGTTGAAGCTTTCACATTGTATAGGATAAAGAGTCATTATGATATTTTATAATCTTTTGGTGATTTTACAGACAAACTGGTCTCAGTTCGTGGTACTGCTGTGAAAGTCAGCACTGTCAGGCCGCTGGTGGTGCAAATGTTTTTTGAATGCTGTAAATGTAGACAAACAATTTCACGCATATTTCCCGATGGAAAGTATTCTCCACCATCAACTTGCAATTTGAACGGCTGCAAGAGCAAAATCTTTAATCCGTTGCGGTCTACTGCTCAAACCATTGATTTCCAAAAAATAAGGTGAGTCTGGTGCTTGACACGTTTTCTCTATTCTTCCACATACATTTGACATCACTTTCCCCATAGTCATTGTTAGAACTTCAGTCTTTTAAAACACTGTTTTGATTTACCTGCCGCAATAGAGTTCAAGAGTTATTAAAACATGAAGACCATGAAGAAGGACGGGTACCTCGAACAGTGGAATGCGAGCTTAGCCAAGATCTTGTTGATGCATGCATACCTGGAGATGTGGTTACTGTTACTGGAATTATAAGAGGAATTAACAATTACATGGATATTGGAGGAGGTATGCCTAAGCCTAAGCCTAAGCCTGCATGTTTTTGTTATCCACCATTTATGGTTCCCTGTTTTAAGACTTGCTTAGATGTTGAAGACAAATCAAATGTAAGTTCGTGAGCATAGATAACCAAACTTTATTTAATATGCATTTTTTAAATTATGTGTTCAGTGTTCACTGGTATTAAAACTGTTGTATGCAAATTCATGAACGTAACTGTTATATTTGACCTATATATGACCTGGAAATCTGACGCTGGTAATAAAATGCTTCCGTCAAAGATGAAGTCTTGAAACACCATTAGTCACAGTCTTAGCATCCCCGCTATATATTCTTCCTTAGAACATGAGTTTCTTCTTTCCCTCTGATGTTGGATTGCCCAATTTTTTGCTTAATTCTCGAAGGCTACTGAACTGCTTTTCTGTCGACAAAACCTGACGCATGAGAAGTATTCTAAACATGTATTTCTTCAAACATTACAAATTTAAATTCCAAAGAAAATTGTTCATTGGATAAATTTATACAAATATTCTGCTGCTGTTGATGCAGGAGTCTGAAAACCTATAGCATTTGTTGCTATTTTCAGTATTTTGTTCGGATAAGACTTATCTCTGCTCTAAATATCTGAATTACTTTAACATAAGAAGGAAATTCCTTCATTTTCAGGCCATTTCACTTATGCTTGTTGGTATTTATGTAGGGAAGTCAAAGAACAGAAACCAAGGATTTTACTATCTGTATCTTGAAGCTGTATCCATAAAAAATTCAAAGTCACAGTCCACATCTCAGGATCTGCAGGACTCTAATGCCAAAACTAGGCCAGCTGAGCTGTTTGATTTGTTTTCATTTTCTTCAAAGGATTTAGAATTTGTTGCAAAGTTTAAACGGGAACACGGTTCAGATTTATTTCGCCAAATCCTTCAATCTATATGCCCATCCATCTATGGGCATGAGCTTGTTAAAGGTAAATATCTATACTTTTGGACTAATAATGGTTACTCAAAATACGAGTCTAAGTCCAACATTATGTAAAAATGAGAAAATTGGACAACATATAAGGAAGAAGATTCACAAATCCATTGCATTGAGGTTTTAGGTTAAAGATGGTGTCAACTATTTTACATGGGTTTAACTCAAGTTTCATTAGTATTGTGTCCCTGGTGAATTTTCCTTGAAAGACTCATCAGTGGTATCAGAACCGAAAGTTCGCCTCGATGACCGACTCAAACGAATACATGGATGAAGAATCTTAGATGTGAGGATTCCTAAGAATATACTCTTTGTTCATGTATCCATTTTTCAGACATTTTGTCTTCTAATTGATGATAAAGATCATCCCTCAATCACAAATTTTTATTACTGATAATTATTGCTAATAACTCCTCCATGAGAGATATTTCATTACTTCACCATGTTTTATTTTCAACAAGAAAACTCAACCAAATATTTAAGTACATTTAATTTTAAAAAATATGGATTGATAGGCAAGGTGTATCCGTTTTCTAAATAGTATAACGTAATGATAATACAAAATGTAACGTGTCAATGCTATCTATAATTGTTGGAATTACCTTGTTGATGTCTCCCATTCAAAACGTCACAATCTAACTAGTCCAACATAATTTTGTTCTCTTTTATCTCATGATCCATTGGTTGACATGTGCATTGTTAGAAACTGTATGGTAAGAATGTCACTCAGGCTATTTTTGATTATCCATTTGTTTTATTTGGGGAAAAAGTTTCAAAATTGGTAATTAAATCCTGAATCTCATTGTAATATTACTTGTTCTTATTTTGACAGCTGGTATAACTCTGTCATTATTTGGTGGTGTGCGGAAGCATTCTATGGATCAGAACAAGGTTCCTGTGAGGGGAGATATTCATGTCATAATTGTTGGTATGCTTACCTTCTATCAAATCAAATCTTCCAAATATTTTTTTGCAGAGGAGTTTTTTGTCAAAAAATGTTTTCTTCAGTTTGAAGCTGGCACAATGAATAAATATAAATGTTCAAAAATTATGGTTGTGATATAACAAACTGCTAACATTGCAATTTTGATTTTCTAGGTGATCCTGGTCTAGGTAAGAGCCAGTTGCTACAAGCTGCTGCAGCAGTTTCTCCGCGTGGCATCTATGTCTGTGGTAATGCCACAACAAAAGCTGGCCTCACAGTAGCTGTAGTGAAGGATCCTATGACAAGTGACTATGCTTTTGAAGCAGGTATTATATTCTTAAATTCTTTTTATGGTTGGAACTCAATCCAACTCTGATCTTCTGGCTCAATGTGTACTGTGCTATTTCCAGAATTAGTAGGTTACTTTGATCATGAATGGTGGAAAGGTTAGCTTTAAACAATTGTGTTTTTCTTAGTCATGTTTTATTGTTTGGTTCTTCAGGTTGATCTTATTTGTTCCATATTTTGAAATATTTGCTTCTATATCGTAAATGTGAAATTTAGAATATGTAGCAATTATATTGGGCCTTATTATCTAGTCATTGATTGGCCAAGCAGTATATGGGCTGCTTCTTTCACGGTAGTCTAAATGGTGACTTTGTTTTGTTTTTCGTGCTTGTCCTGTTTTCTTAAGCTATGCAGAAATAGTAGGTTAGTTTATCTTAGCTAGTAAGGTGAAAAAAGGGGAACAAGTTTTTTTTTTCTTGTGCTATCCTAGATAACGAAAGGATATTGTTCGCTATCTAACTGATTTTGCTATGATCCCTTGCAAAAGATTAGTTTGTATTTTCTGTGAATGGTTGTCGGAATTCATGATAGGTGCTATGGTGTTGGCTGACAGTGGATTGTGCTGTATTGATGAGTTTGATAAAATGTCTTCAGAGCATCAGGTTTGTTCTCTGGTTACTTGTTTCTAGTTTCTGTAAATATGTTTTAAACCTTACTGTAAAAATATGGTGATAATACAGGCTTTACTGGAAGCGATGGAGCAACAGTGTGTATCTATCGCAAAGGCGGGGTTAGTAGCAAGTTTATCATCCAGGACTTCTGTCTTAGCTGCTGCAAATCCCGCTGGTGGTCATTATAAGTAACATTTTCTATTTTTGTCTTGTTCTTGCAATTTTCCTTTATACACCGCCTCCTTTATAATTAGGATCAGAGACACCAATCATGAAGTTTTAAAATTGGACTAAGGCTGTCAAACATTAAAACTCACTTTTAAAATCTAGTTCAAGGGTGGAAGATTGTCCAAGTCATATAGGGATTATTGTGGTTGTTTAATTTGTATCATATTAGTTATTATCAAAGTAATACCAGCCAAGTGAATGGTATACCCCTATTGCAGCCGAGCAAAAACTGTAAATGAAAATTTGAAAATAAGTGCTGCTCTCCTGTCTCGTTTTGATTTAATTTTCATACTGCTGGACAAACCCGATGAACTTCTGGACAAGCGACTCTCGGACCACATTATGGCAGTAAGTGAATACTGTATTCTTACTTTGTCTAGGTGCTTGCATGTGCATAAATGCATGCTGTCAACCATATTCATATCCCATTGATTGTTGATGTATTTGATGAAATTTTTTTCAATGATTGGGAGATGGAGTAAAATACCGGGAAAGAGTTGTTAAATAGCTCCCATATTGGTGTCTCAGAAATCCTCCAATCCAATCGGCTGTTGTGATTGCATTGTGGTTCCACCCAAAAACTGCTATTATGATGGGCGATGGTAGTTGTTGTTTTACTGGGCAACACTCTTTGTGATTTTTCCCCCAGTTTCAGTGTTCCACTCCCCCACTTATGTAGAAACTCAAACTTTTCCTTTACCTGTTACTTAAAAAACCGCTACTCGCGCAAGGAAGGTCTCTTCTGCTCCTCCATCAACATGAGTTCACCTCCTCTAGCATCTTACTGACCAAGTTTAACTTGTCTTCGTTGGTATTTTCTCATGAAAAATTGAATTTTCAAGTTAGTTATGTGATAGGAATGTTAGGGAGTGGAGAGTGTATGAGAGGAGAAGGAAGAGTTAATACAGAGTTAGTATCCTAACTGCTTGCAGTTAGGAAAGGCGGGAAGGGAGGTCTTGTATAAATAGAGTTCTATTCATACTTAGAAGGGAGTTTTGGTATTCTTTGTGTAAAGACAGGACATTGGCCTGAGGGGGATTAGGCTCCCGTTAGATTGAGGGGGATTAGGCTCCTGAGTTACTGTTTGTACATGTTCTCTTGTTGAATTGAATAAAGAAACCATTCTTTTACATTGTTATTTCTTGTTCGTTAGTGCGAGAGTGTTTGTTCTAGTTAGGTTTTATAGCCAGGAACCTAACAATTGGTCCGACCTGCTGGATCCAATTAGGGGAGAAAGGCGAAATGGAGGGGAGAATCGACGGGAGATTAAACGTAGTAGAAGGGCAACTGGAAGCAATGGAAATTGCAGCGGATGGGATGAAGGCGGAGACAACAGCGCTGCGTCAAGACTCAACAGCGATACGCCAAGACCTGCAAGAAGTTATGAGAATCTTGGGTGGACGCAACTGCAACCAGGAAGGGCACTCGGACGAAAGCCAAGCGTCCGCCAATGAGAACAGGAGGAGGCGAGAAGAAGACTTTGGAGGGAGAGAGGGCGAACGCCAGGAAGGGCTACCCAATTGGAGAAAAAGGGTAGAGTTACCGGTATTTGAGGGACTCGACCCGTTGAATTGGATTAACAGGGCTGAGAAATTCTTCGAGTTGCAAGGTGTGGTAGAGGAGGAAAAGGTGCGCCTAGCCTACATCAATATGGAGGGTAGCGCTGACTATTGGTTCAGATTCTGGAAGGAGAAAGCCAAAAATCGTTCTTGAGAAGGTCTGAAGGGAGCAATGGTGGTGCGATTTGAAGAAGGAACAGGGGTACAACCTTTGAAAGGTTGGCGGCCATTAAGTAGTCGGGGACTGTGGAAGAGTACGTCCAAGATTTTGAAATCTTGGTGGGACAGATGAAGGGAGTACTCGAAGAGCAGTTGTTGGGGTACTTTCTCGTCGGACTGCAAGAAGGCATCCGCAATCAAGTCCGACCCCATGACCCGCAAGAATTGACGGCGGCTATGTGAATTGCAACGGATGTCGAGGACGCCCAGGACAAGGCAAAGGCTGGGAACTGGAGCGTGACAAAGAACCAGTCGTCGTGGGGGCGAACGAGCAGTGAGGTGACACCTAGGCCAATCGCTATAACCCAAGCCGATCAGTAATTGCCGAGCGGTCTGAGGTCAATCGCTATAACCCAGGCTGATCGGTAGTTGCCGACCGGTCCGAGACAAATCGCTATAACCCAGGCTGATCGGTAGTTGCCGAGAGTGTTGGGTCAGTACGGAAGGAGGCTGCCTTACTCAGAATTCTTGAAACGGAGAGAGGAGGGAAGGTGTTTCAGGTGTGGGGGACCGTTCGGTCCAGGTCACCATTGCCCAGAAAGAGTCTACGAATGATTATTTTGGCGGAGGATGAAGAGGAGGAGACTAAGGAGCTGAGACAGAATTAGACTTGAAGCAAATGGAGTTGTCCGCTTTCTCGGCTGGAGGCCTTCCTCAGCCAAAAACGATGAAGCTGCACGGTGTGATAGGGACCAAACGATGTTGATTTTGATCGACAGTGGCGCGAGCCACAATTTCATAGGCAAGGAACTAGTAGAAGAAATGGGTTTACCCATGGAGGATACCCCACCGTACCAGGTGAGCTTGGGGAATGGGCATAGGAAGAAAACCAGGGGCTGTGTTGAGAGAGTCGTGACCAGTATAGGGGAAACCGAGATAGCATAGAGGTTTCACTTATTCGAACTAGGGGGAGTTGATGTAATACTGGGAGTGGAGTGGCTAGCTAAGATGGGAGAAATAACTCTAGACTGGGGGAAATTAAATATGGTGTTCAGTCAAGGAGGGAAGAAGGTAATCATAGGGGGATCCCACATTAGCTAGAAGGTTGGTAGAGCCAGAAGCTTTGCTAAAAATAAAGGAAGTAGAAGCGTGGACCTTGGTGTGGGATTTGGGGTGATAGGAAGGAGAGAGGAAGCTAGTGACTGACGGGGAAGCAACAACAGGAGATGAAGAAGGTTCTGGAGCAAAATTCAGGGGTCTTTCACGAACCAGTTTTTCCGCGGGTGAAAAGAGAAGAGGTTGAGCACAAAGTGGTGAGTGTTGAAAAGAATAATAATAATAAAAGTAACAGTGAAGGTGTTGCAGAGCAAGCGATTGGTGGTGTTGAAATAGTGAAGGAGGTGGATGTGGCCACGAGAACCAAGGGGAGCAAAGGGGGCTTGCAGTTCGTGATACACCTGCAGGGGAAGAGCGCTGCTTGAAGCATTGAAAGACATCGAAGACCGTTTTATCAGGGCGTATGATTTTGGAGAAGTGACCAGAATGCTGGAAGCTGATACAATCCAGGAAGAATGGAAGTCATTGGAGGATGATTTGCCACCATCCAAGCCTCCAGACCTGAATCGGAGGGCAGTAGTCAGTGGGTTTCACGATTCCAACCTTGAGGACAAGGTTGTTATGCAATGGGATGTAATGGTAGGAATGTTAGGGAGTGGAGAGTGGATGAGAGGAGAAGGAAGAGTTAATACAGAGTTAGTATCCTAACTGCTAAGGAAAGACGGGAAGGGAGGTCTTGTATAAATAGAGTTCTATTCATACTTAGAAGGGAGTTTTGGTATTCTTTGTGTAAAGACAGGACATTGGCCTGTGAGGGGGATTAGGCTCCCGTTAGATTGAGGGGATTAGGCTCCCGAGTTACTGTTTGTACATGTTCTCCTGTTGAATTGAATAAAGAGACCATTCTTTTACGGTGTTATTTCTTGTTCGTTAGTGCGAGAGTGTTTGTTCTAGTTAGGTTGCATACCCAGAAACCTAACATTATGTTTTATTTTATCCCCATACAATTTGTTTGTTTGTTTGTATGTACATATTGATTTATTCCACCTTCTGCTTGACTTCAGCTATTTTCCCAGACTCTATTGCAATATATGATGCTATAGTGAATTTTTGGGACTGTGCGAGTCAATAATTATGAGACATGCTGTTTTCTCCAGATTATAGCTTCTAGCTTCTGCTTATGTCGAGGATATGAATTATCAAATGACTTTCGTCTCTCCATAATTATTATAGGTTTAACTCCACCCTCGCATGACTTCTTTCTTTATCTAGAATCTAGTCTTGTCTAAAAGGGAATTAAATTATTAAATAAGTTTAAACTTAAGATGTATTATAGACATGACATGACGTACAGAAGAACCAATAGAAAACCACGAAGAGTGATATGAATCTTGGGAAAGGAAATATCATTTGCCTCGTGGCGTACTGAAATCACATTGGATTTCTGCATGGTAGATCTTAGTGTTCTTGCTGTACGGCAATCTATCCTCCCTCAGTAGACATGTTTTCACTTTTCTATCAATTTTATTCTCCATTCAATATTTTTGTTTTATTATTTTTCATTTGATCTCGTGTTTCGTATATTGTTCTTTTGGTTCTAAAGGTTAATATTTCAATTGTATCTCGCAGCTTCATGGTGGGAATGGACAACTTTCACCAGCACTGAAAAAGCGACGTGGAGGTTATTTTACTACCTCTCCATTTGGCATTAATTTCGAATATGCTAGAGCATTCTACATTTTGGTAAATCCAGATTTACTAACGGTAAATATTGTTCGTTATCAGATACATCTGATTCCAGAGCTACTGTATCACAGAATGCGGAACCTGTAGGAGACTTGGATGTTAGATCTAGATCTGGATCTTTAATTTCAAGATTGAGACTTGACCCACTAAGAGACGGTGATTTTATTCCATTACCTGGTCAACTTCTTCGCAAATACATTGCTTATGCGAGGAGTTATGTCTTTCCCAGGTGATTTGATGTCTTGTATTCTTTATGATTCTGGTCTAAGTATATTAGAGATATGATTCGTTAGGAGTTTATTAGTAGATTTGTTAGGAGAGTAATTATTTTGTTACCTGTATAAAGGCTTTGTATTTGTTTTACATTTACCTCTTTCATCCATAAATACACATCATATTTTCAGTTTGTCACTTTTTTCTCTCTTGTCACTCAACCATGAATTTTAACATGGTATCATAGCTATACCACCCATCTTGAAGGAGATTTTTTTCTGCTTTCCTGAGCACTGTTTGCTCATTTTCCCCGTCACTCTTTTGTTTTAAACCTTAACATTGATTTCTGCCTCACCCATTTAGTTTCTCAGTCCAAGGTGGTGAAGGCACTTCAGTCGTTTTTTATCCTTTACGTCTGCATCCATGTTACCTAGGTCAATATTCACGTCATCTTAATTTTTTCTCTCAAGTTCCATTTGGACCAAATCTTGTTCAAATAATGCAAGACTTTTTCTCACTTTCAAATCAAGATTCGTGTCCAATCAAGTTGACGACTGTAGTGAAAGACGAAGGAGCATGGAGAACCACATTATTCTGCCTCTCGAATTGATCAAAGAAGTTCTGCCTTTGCTGGTGAAATCCTTTTTGCAATTCCTGTTGTTCCTTTGCCTCCTGTACGATCTTGATTTTCTCTACATGCTGGTTTGTGAAGATTAAATTTTGCCTGTTTGGAGAGGTTCAAAGACGTATGTTGTTCAAGTTTTGCGCACCCAGTTTTGACTTGTAGTTGCAACTTTGATTATCAGTTGGATCAGTATTAACTGGTTGGTTCCTTGCTGGAAACTTAGTTTAGATGTACTTTTGGTTTTTGTGATACTTCAGTTGTTCAAGGTGCCTTGTAACCGTTTGGGGAGTTTTGTACACTAAATGTTTGGTGTTTTGATTCATATTGATTTTGGAAGCATCTCGGTTGATATCATTACCCCACACTTATCTCTACTACAGTGCACGGACAAGTGAATCAAGAAATTGTACATGCCACTGTTTTGGTTCCATTGGTTGCAATTAAGTTTCTAATTCCCAATGGATCCAAATGGTAGAGTCCTTGCTGAACCATTTCTCAATATGGCGGAAAAGTTGTCTTTGAAGACTTAGGCTGCTATGGTTTATTGGTTTGTCCTGTTGTAAGCTTCTGCTATGGATTGTTAAGCAGGGGGATTTTTTGTTTTCTAGTGCCTGTAGGGTAGTTAAGCATTTATCTTGTTTGCTTCTGATAAAAGGTTAAGTCTTAAGTTGTGTCTTCTGCTTAATGGTTAAGCTTTGAGTTGCCTTTGTTGATTTGATAGCTTTTGCCTTCTGTGGTGGTTAAGCTTTGATGATTCTACCTTTATTAGGTGGTTAAACTTTGGATAAATTATGGTTTATTGGTTTGTCCTGTTGTAAGCTTCTGCTATGGATTGTTAAGCAGGGGGATTTTTTGTTTTCTAGTGCCTGTAGGGTAGTTAAGCAATTATCTTGTTTGCTAAAATAAAAAGATTAAGTCTTAAGTTGTGTCTTCTGCTTAATGGTTAAGCTTTGAGTTGCCTTTGTTGATTTGATAGCTTTTGCCTTCTGTGGTGGTTAAGCTTTGATGATTCTACCTTTATTAGGTGGTTAAACTTTGGATAAATTATGGTTTATTGGTTTGTCCTGTTGTAAGCTTCTGCTATGGATTGTTAAGCAGGGGGATTTTTTGTTTTCTAGTGCCTCTAGGGTAGTTAAGCATTTATCTTGTTTGCTTCTGCTAAATGGTTAAGTCTTAAGTTGTGTCTTCTGCTTAATGGTTAAGCTTTGAGTTGCCTTTGTTGATTTGATAGCTTTTGCCTTCTGTGGTGGTTAAGCTTTGATGATTCTACCTTTATTAGGTGGTTAAACTTTGGATAAATTCAGCCATTGTATTTCTGACATTCTCTATTTTTCTTTCGACTTGTTTTGATACTTGTATCGTTCAGTTAAAGCTGGAAGTGTTATAACACCTCCGAGCTTTTGGAGGGATATTAGAGACATGGTTAGTTAGAAGTTTATTAGTAAATTAGTTTGGAGTTTGTTTGGGGAATAATTAGTTTGTTGCCTATAAAAGGCCCTTTGTCCTCTTGCATTTATATCTCTTTTATCAATCAATACGCATCTGATTTTCAGTTTATCACTTTTTTCTCTCCTCTCAACACCGAACCATGAATTTATTTTCTGCCTTTTCTCCTTTTTATTTATTCTTAGGATGACAAAGTCAGCTGCAGAAATTTTGCAAAAGTTTTACCTAAAACTGAGGGATCATAATACTTCGGCTGACGGTACTCCTATAACTGCTAGGCAGCTGGAAAGTCTAGTACGGCTAGCTGAAGCTCGGGCTCGGCTGGACTTGAGAGTAGAAATAACGGACCAGGATGCAACGGTTAGTTTTCATATCTTAGGAAGTTAGCATTAATAATGTACATAGTATTTCTTTTTGCTATCCTTTTTTTTTTTTTTTCTAACTTCACATCCCACACGTTTTCAAAAGTACCCCTGTAAATGGGGTTAAATACCATTTCAGATTTTAGTCTACAGATGTGTAAAATTTTAACATTTTTTATTTCCAGAATTACATAAATATGTTTCAGAATTGTTTTTACACACTCCCAGAAATTAAATTCTCGAAGCATTAAAATTTTATGAAACTAAATTCTGGAAGTGTAAGCATTTTGTATACTACTAGAATTTTTCGGAAGTTAGTCTCATTTTTGTTTTTACATATTTATATTTTTATACATAGATCAGAACATTCTCATTGTTGTTACTCCCATTTTTTTCTCTTGTCCTTTTAAAACTCAACACTCACCACTATAAAGTACAACCAGATGTATATAAATACGATAAATCTTCTCTTAAACTTGGTAGGTATTTTTGTGATCATAAGTAATTCTTGACGTCTTTCCCCATTTTAGCACTAGTCCTGTTTTGGTCTGTCTAGTTTAATAAAGTAAAATGCAAGTCCGTGGAATATGTCTGTCTTAACACAACTTTGACAGTTGTGATAGAGATGAGAATGTTATTTTAGATGAGGGAACACGGGGTAGTACTAGGAATGTTATTATATAGACGGTAACCTTGTCATTAGAGGTAGAGAGATTGGAGAAAACTATAGGCAAAACCATTAATGGAAGGATTTAGAGGGATGGGGGTATGTTCGCAATAGAACATTACGGTATTGTCGTAATAGAAATTCTTATCATGAATTTCTCGTGTCTTGATTTCTTGTAACGAAATTGTGGTGCAGGATGTTGTTGAAATCATGAAAGAGTCCCTGTATGATAAATATGTTGATGAGCATGGAATCGTGGATTTTGGTCGAAGTAGTGGGATGAGTCAACAGAAAGAGGCAAAACGCTTTCTAAATGCACTCAATAAGCAATCGGAATTGGAACAGAAGGATTGCTTTTCAGTATCTGTACGTGCTTTTATTTTTCATCCTGCTGCTTTTATTTTGGATAGTTTCTGTACTGATAAAAGACCCATGTTACTTTTCAGGAACTATACAGCCTTGCAGATAGGATTTCCTTGAAAGTACCTGATATTGACACTTTCATCGAAAACTTAAACAGTGTTAGTTATCTACTCAAAAAAGGACCAAAGACATACCAGGTACCGTATGATGGCATTTTAATTCTCAGGTCTATTGGGACTTCTTTTGAAGTTTTATAACAATCATAAATTTTCAATCCATGATTTTAAGTTGGTGCTTATCTCCTTTTAAAAAAGCTAAATCCAAAAATTTATGAGCAAAGCATCCTTTTTAACATTTTGCAGGTATTATCCTCTTCTTATGCACGAAGCCAAGCGTTTAAGACAAGGGGTTAAATTGAAGGAGCCATGTTCGTTTTCTCTCCTTACGCTGAAGCTCCCCTATCATACTAGGATTTTGTGTTACTAATATTTGTAAATATGACATGTCATGTACGGGGGCGGTAACTTATCACCCGTGGTGTACAAAGTGCAAGATTGCGTAACAATGCTACCATTCCATCATTACATCATTACTAAGGTGAGAACTGAATCTCGTTTCAAATTCTTCTGTAATTGTTAAAAGGTTCAATTTTTTTCTAAAAGCATCCAATTTATCCTAATAACAAGATAAATTGAAACTACATTTGATAATATGACTATATTAATGGTTATAGTTTAAAGTTAGGAGAACTCGTCAGAGAATTTGTCTAGGATTTTATTATTTTTATATTTATAGCCTTAAACATATTAAGATACAAATGATTTCGTATCTCCCATACCAAATGAGAAATTGAATTAAAATAATCAATCGTCAAACTAAACCAAATGTTTTCCATTGCATTTGTATACAGCAGTATCATTGTCAGTTTTTACTCTGAAAAAATTATTAAAAAGATAAGTAATTGATTAATGAAATAAATAATTAAACACATTAACCATTAAAGAAGTTTAAAGAGATTAATAAATTGAAAGTGTTATACTAATTAGGATCAAGATTTCGACAAGTTCAGTACATATTATTACTTTTGCAGTCAGTATTATACTGTCTACAACACTTATTTTTTAAATATATCAGATAACATTATTTATTGTTCCGAGTTTAGATTCCAAAACCTAAATAGTAAGGAAATTATGTGGTTAATTTTTACGTTTGATTCCTAGAATTTATAGTAAACCGTGAACTGACTCCTCAAATTTGAAAAATCAATGCTTTAGTACTCCGAAGTATATTTATAATTTGAGGAACTGTAAATTGGCTTTAAATTTGGAACAGTAAAATTTTTATTTTCAACCTAATTTCAAAATTTGAAGACTGAAACATATTTTTGATTTGTAGAATCAAAACCAGATGTATCCAAAGTTCTAAGAAACAAATGCTTTAATCATATTATATTGTTGTGCCAGTAGCTGCAATTGAATTAGTAGGAGACATTGTACAAATAAAATTACAAGGTTCACGTACATTACAAAATAAAATGCAAATTAGTTAGGTCGGATTTATTTATTGTTAAAAAGGAATAGAATCAGAAAGAAACGGTAGAATGAAACCAACATCGTGTTAGAGAAGTAAAAGGGTCACACCACATGACGAAATCAACAAATATAACAGAAGAAGCTCGACTCTTCATACATTATTATACATAGAAATAAGGAAAAGAATATTCCCATTTATGCTTACAGTCAGTCCTAATATCTCAGTCTTTGCCAAGCCCGCCTGATGTATTCAGACAACACGGCTCTCGGATTTACAACAACTTTCAAATAATAATAATTCAACTCCAAAGATAATATACAAACCTTAATTTTGAAAAAAAAATATATCTGGACACAAGAACCAACATCTCCTATGTCTGTCAGTATTCACATAACATTAAGATATTCAATATGTCGTGAGCACTTGCTAACCGGCGTAGATAGTACATTAGAACAGGAGGGCTAATAGACTTGACACCTATTCTGGGCCTTGCATTGGAACCATCATATGTTGACCCTGTGAATATTTAAAATAAGAAAAAAGAAAAAAAAAAAGAAGTAAATATCAAATTCGTATCTATAAGAGTCCTTTTACTCGTGGTAGCATCAATACCTTAAATTACGACATAAACCTTGAAACCATGGAAAAAACATACGTAACAAATATAAATATGTATTCTCAATCATATGTTCCTCATTAAGTATAGAGAGGTTTAATAGACCCTTAAGCCACAAGGCTGTCCCACGAACGTTGCACCTTTAGGGATTGTCCGCTTAGGCCGATTGTGATGATTTGTACTTCCATTAAGTTGGCCAGCATCGAAAGGGCAACAAAGAGATAAAACGATTGAAGTGAATGTGAAATCATTGTTGTTAAATAATAACCGTTATGATGGCATCACAGTAATAACATGGCATTTTTGACCTATCTGCCATTTGCCATCCATTGTTTTCCATTATATAGTGACATTCACTATTTATCACTGTATGACGCCTTCTGCAATATCTATCATTGCTCACCATTATCCCTAACTACACCACGGGACACTTCAACCATAAGGTTCTAACATCACTGTGGCACCTTCAGGGATTGACAACTAAGGCAAAGTGTAACAATCTGTACTTCCATTGAGTTGGCCAACCACAAAATGGAAACAGGGAAAAGATAATGGTGTCATAGAAGAGTTGAGGCGAAACAAATTTTATTGGATAACCACTATGGCACGACCATAACACTACGTGACGCTTTTGGATTGTTTGTCATTTGTCATCCATTATTTTCCATCGTATGATGACATTCACTATTTGTCATTGTATGGTACCATACATACTCTCCATCGCCCACATTATCCATAATCATACTAGGGTGAGACGCAAGGTTGTCCACCAATGAGGCATATGAGATTGTCAGATTAAGAAAAGTATGATAATTTGTACTTACATTCAGTTAGCCAACAACGAAAGGGCGACAAAGGGAAAGGATAAGGTTGACATAAAAGAGTTAAAGTGAAATCCATGTTGTTTAACACTAACACTATAACATGGTCCTTTTTGGACATTCTACCATTTTCATGTTATTTTCCGTTGCAAGGTACCATTTATTATTTGTTTGTCATTGTATACATCATCTTTCGTATCTTCCATCACTTACCATTATCTATAATTACACTAAGGGCCATTTAAGCCACAAGCTTTACCCGAATGTGGCATATTTAGGGATTGTTGACTCAGGCATATTGTAATAATACATACTTCCATTGAATTGGCTAGTGGGAGAGGGCAAAAGGGGAAAGGATAATGATTTTGAAAGGGTTGAAGCGAAATCAATGTTGTTAAATAACCATTATGGTATCCATTATTTTTCGACCCTACTACCGTTTGCCATCCATTATTTTCCATAGTTCTGGGTATCCACTATTGTCGTTGTATGGTGCCATCTCCATTGCCTACCATTATAGACAATAACACTAAAGGACGCATAAATCATAAGATTCCCGCACCAATATGCCATCTTTAGGTATTCTCAACTTAGACATAGTGTGACAATTTGTACTTCCATTGAATTAGGAAATGATAAAAGGGCAACAAAGGGAATGGATAATGTTGTCATAGAAGGGTCAAACTGAAATAAATGCTTTAAATAATTCTCAAGCCATCACCATAACACCATAATATGGAGGTTTTGGATCTTTCTACCATTTGCTAGCTGATATTTTACAATGTAAGGCTACATTCACTATTTGTCATTCTACCACCATAATATTATAACATGGCATTTTTGGACCCATCTGCCATCAATTAATATCCATTGTATGGTGACATTCACCATTTGTCATTATATGGTGTCATATACTCATCATTATCTATAACTACACTTAAGGATACTTCAGCCACAAGGTTGTCCCTCCAATGTGGCCTCTTTACGATTGTCGATTTAGGTAAAGTGTGATAATTAGTACTTCCATTGAGTTGGTCAACGATTAAAGGGGCAACAAAGGAAAAAATATTGTTGTCATAAATGAGTTAAAGTAAAATAAATATATGTTGATAAATACTTGATATGGCACTGCCATAACGCAATAACATGGAGGCTCTTTGGACCTATTTTCCATAAGTTATTTTCCTTTGCAAGGTACACTTCTCTATTTGTTATGCTGCCATTTGCCATATCTTCCATCACCCACGATGGCACAACACCGTAGCAAAACACCCCTTCTTTTTCCCTTTTAGCCATTTCTTTCTTTTTATTAGCTCATTCTTCATTTCTTCAAATGTTTCCTTTTCTCTAAAATAATTTTCAGTTATAGCTGTTCTTGTTCTTCATGTGTTCAATGTTTTTATGTTTTTTCTTTTCAAAATTTCAGAATTTAGTTCTTGGTTTTTTGATTTTGAGAATCATGTTGATCTATGCTTTTTAATGAATTAAACGTATAATGTTCCCAATTCTTTTCCACTTATAGCACAATGTCAAGCACCAAAAATCAATTTCTTTGGACACTTGATATTATCTTGGATTTTTAGTCTATGATTCAGTTATTTTCACTTTTACATATATGTTATCATTTTTATGTGCCATAGGCTGTCATCATCAGTTGATAACCTTGAGTGGAATCCAAATTTAGGACCAACATTAAAAGACACATCCCAGATGTTAAAATCCAATTCTCACATCAGTCACAATGTAAAGACTAGAAAACTTTGTAGCTTAAGAATACTTCATTGACTTTATTTCATTCGCCCAGAATCACAGCTAGAAATATTTTGAATTTAAAAATCATGATCATTAGCATTCTTTGCTACCTATCATGAAAACAAGGTAAACTTCGTGATCTTTTAAGACAACCACAAAAGAATGTCACGTGTTCCTGAAAAGAGCTCAGGGAAGTAGCTTGAAAAACCTAAATATAATACTTCAGTAACAAGTAACACCAAAGTAGGATATTAAAGCTTTTGATATCCAAGCCAAAATCAATTATCGTGCTTAAGACTAAAACGTATAATTAATAACACATTTATATTTAAGCACAGACCATCCATAAATGACATACAGATGCCAAAAGCATCATTCACACACTTCAAAAATGATCAGTAGCACAAACCCTATATCACAAGAAACCTCCAGCCAACCACCACCACAGGATTCTAAAAACTTTATTCAATCTTAATGCATTATGTAAAAAGACTTTTAAAGAAACCAGGGACCACAACAAATGAAATTTATTACTGTGTGTACTTTGTAAATCCATTAAGGAGGAAAATTTCCAACAACACTCAGTGTCCTACCAAGCTGAGAGAGACCACCCTATAAAGATGGACCACACAATAACCCCAAATAAACCAAAAATATGTTTAAAAAAGTGGCAGACATTATCAAGAGATAAAATTATTAAACCTAAATAAAAAAAAATATGCATAAGAACAACTTTTTAGGAGAGACTTTAATGGGTGAATTGATTGTGCTACCAACCGAAGGTAGCTGACGCATTGACAAGTGTTATTTGGCACTAAGTCTAAGGTGGAGGTTTTCAATATGCAGTGCAAATGGGTTTTCTAATATCAATCCAAAGTAGTGTTAGAGCCGGCATAGTGTGAATCATTTTAACTAAAGTAAGCTTAAAAGTTTTTACAAGGAATAGGGACTAAACTTAGTTCTGCAAATGGAAATAGCAGTAAGTCACACATCCTATTAGGGTGCTTGCCACAAATTCATTACATCTCTTATGTTCACACTCCACGTCAGAAACAGAGAATTCTTTGATATTTACAGCAGTTACAATTTAGAGTTCAAACAACCACCTTAGCACCTTCATTTAACATTCAACATTGACAGCCCAGAAGAACACAAAGAAAGAAGATAATACAGCAACAAAGAGAGCACAGTTACCTGAGAATTTGTGTAACTAACCCCTTGGGAAAAAGAACCTTGATGAGTAAGCTGCAGATTTCACAACAAAAAAAGCGAATATGATATCTAAGTGTATTTTATATATACTTCGAGCAACACAATAAATCATAACTTCCAGGAACGTGGTTGCATTTTACCTGAGCACTAGGACCCGGTTGAACATCTTTCTTACCAGAGGTGTCTCCACCCTTGGCGGAGCCCTTGGTGTCACCCTGAAATACAACATATTGAAGAACCGTAACATAGAGATATGAACAAAGAGACTCAACAATAAAAATTACAAAGCATAACAACTATTCAAGCATTAGATGACAGATTCAAAATTACCTCCATCTGCAACATCCCCGAACCGTACATGAAACAAAGCCATGATAAAAAAAAATGCCAATCAGCAAAAACCAAAAACGAGCATTAGGAAAGCCCAATAAACCAAACATAAAAACACGCAGTATACAAGTTTTTTGACTGGGGACCAGACAAACATTTAAAATAAAAAAAAATGAAATTGGTAAATTAAAATCACCTCTCTGTATCTTGTGAGGTAAATCTTCAAGGGATCGATGTAATCCTCGAAACCAAGGGTGGCCATTGCCCAGAGCAAATCGTCCCCGTTAATAGTCTTTCTTTTCTCTCTCTGACACTTATCAGAGGCCCTACACAATTCAGCGGATTCAAAATTAAAGCACGTGATAACAGAAAAACGGAAGAGAATCAGAAAAAAAAGAAAAAGAAACACTAACTCGCTGGTGATGAAGCTGATGAACTCCGAGACGCACTCCTGAACAGTCTCTTTGGCGTCTTTGGCGATTTTCCCGTTAGCAGGGAGCGCCTTCTTCATGATGCGGCTTATGTTAGCGATAGGGAGGTACCTATCCTGCTCGCGCACGTTAGAGCGGGGACTGTGGTCGCCGCTCTCGTGGCTGCCGCCGCCTGGACTGGACGGACCGTCGGCCATAGTCGCCTGAACCCTGATTTGAGAGAGGAATAATCGGTGAAAAACATGGCGAAATTGAAAAAGAAGAAACCCTAATTGGAGAGAAGGAGTTGAGTTGTTATGTTGGTGAAGAGAAATGTTAAGAATACCTGTGATGGTATGAATTAGTTTGTATTTGGCGCGAGATCGGTGAGGGAATCGGACGCTGGAGAAGAAAGGAAGGTGGAGACGATTGAGATCTAGATTGAAGCCTATCACCACCGTTCGTTTTCTTTTATTACACAACAAACAGACACTTGACACTATCCTTACTTGCTTTTCGCTCCTTCCTCCACCCTTTTTATTTCTCTCTCTTCTCATACCCTTCCTTTTTTTTTTTTCCTTTTTTTTTTCCTTTTTTTTATTTCTCCATTCAACTCCTCAAGTCAATGAAATAATTTATTATAGCAATTAATCATTTCTCATAATACGTGTCTCATTAATACGTAGACTTACATTTTTTTACTCAAACTATAAACTTAAAAGAAAAGGTGGAAGAATAAACTAATTAGTTTTTTATTAATAATAGTTTTAATGGTCCGTATAAATTATTAGCCTGCTAAATTTTAATTTTTAATATAAAAATGTAATAATTTATTTATTAATAATGTAACTTTTTATACGAACGGAAAATAAATAAAAATATATTGATGTGAGAAAGGAAGGAGATAAGGAATTCTTTGTTTGAAATATGTGAAGAAAATAAGTTTTTTTGTTAATACGAGTAAGTTTAAAAATGTGATTTTAATTATTTTGTATAGTCTTTATGCCATTAACTTGAATAGAATGATTTAAGAGATAGTAATATTTATGAACACTGTTAATAATAATAGTATACTATAAAATATAGGATAAGGATTTTAATTTTCTTAATTAAATAATTCACGATGCTTGAAAGATAATAAATTTAGTTAATCATTTGTTTATAACTTGAAGTTGGTGATAGGGAATTATTGGAACATTTCTTTGTATAAACTTATTTTTTAATGTACATAACTACTAAAACATTAAAAAGGAAAGAGATGATTAATTGTGTTTTAAATTTTTTTTGAAATTGCTTGATAGATACCTAGTACCTACAAACAAAGTTTGAAGTAGGACATTGTGAAATAAAAATATTAAGAGTCACATCTCATAAAGTCTTTAGACCCAACTTCGACTTTATTAATATATTATATAAAGGGTTTTATGAAAGACATTTTCATAAATCTTCCTTTAGTTACAGTTAAATCACAAAAATATATAAAAAAAAAGGAGAAGAAGTATTTATTTTTTATATTTTTACATTGATTTGTTTATAAATTTCATTATGTGTAAATCTGAATCAAATTGATTAAGTTTCATTCAACCTATTAATGTCGTGAGAATAAAGTGAGTTTTGTTTAAAGTTCAACCATGAAATAATTTGACAATTATTTGGACACACAAGTTTATTAGGTTCTCGAAATGAAAAAGAGTTAAGTTGGAAATTTGATCTCTAAAAAATTGATTTCCCACTGTTTAGTGTTATTTTGATTTGAAATTAAAATAGTATTATTTTAAAAAAATTATTTTTCTTAAATAGTTTTAGTAATTTTTTATTTTTTTTATAAAGGTGCATGATTGGACCATTGGGACCATGCAGAGTATTGGGAGACTCTCCTCGTCTGCCCTTTTCCTGCTTGTGCAGGTCTTTCTTTAATGCTTCCCATATACATACATAATACAAACCAAGATGTGAAATTACAGTTATAACTCTCATTAATTATTGCTTTAAAAAAACCTTTCATTAATTACTATATCTAGACTTGTAGTGGTTCGACTATTATATATATATATATATATATATATATATATTAAAAAGAAATTTATATTTTGACAAAAAAAAATTAATAATATTTTAACACAGCATAATGTTATTTTTTCTTTGGTTCATTATTTATTTATTACTGTATTTAGCATATTATAAATTCAATGAAAAAATAACACATTAAAAATCTACATTAACATATCATTAACCAATTTAAAAAAAAAGTAATCTAGTCAATCCACCCACTATGAAAGTTTCTTCGACACAAATCCTATGCACAATTATTTTTAACCACTCAGTTTTACTTTAAAGTAACAAATACCATGGTCCAGAAAAAGAAAAGTCGAGTTTTACATTTATATAATTTAAAAATTTCTAAACTTGAACTTCTGCAATAATAAAACAAATTCAAATTGTCAAATTGGGGAAAATAAAATCAACTGCAGTATACATATCGAACACAAGAACTGCAGTATACAAAGACTGTTCATTTGGTTGGAAGGGTGCACCAATCATTAAACCAACCACATAAGGACAATCCCTCTTCACAATCAGACATTGAATGAAAGAGAGAAAAAAGATAAAATCATACGGCGAGAATTAACAAAAGAAAAACTTGATTTTGTCTACAAAAGATATCTATCTTGCTGTTGGCTGTGCAACTGATTCATCAATTGACAAGAAACTCTCAGCTCCAACTAGATCCATAGAACCCATGTTCAAGGAAGACTGAAAAGAATTTTTGGACATGTCATCTGAGTTCCCTTCTCTTAATGCTTCTGCCTGTCTTTCAATAGATATGGCATCTTGGATCTCCTTTAGAACTTCTGAAATTGATGGCCGCATATGTCCATGAGGCTGAACACACATCAATGCTTTCTCTGCTATTTTCCACATTGATTGTAGGTCATAATCATTCTGCAAAAAGGGATCAATAATACCTTGTATATCTCCACTCTCAATGTGTAATTTTGCCTGTGAAAAGTTCATGCAGACAACCAAATTTAGTCTATGGTTTCAAATAAGGTTATGCTAGACATCATTATAAACTTTGACATCTCAGTTATGTTGACTCCAAAACCGATCAGTCGTTAGTCATCACATGAAAATTTAGTTGATAATTCATTCTGTCATCAACTCACACATAGATTTTGCATGTTCATATTATGATTTTCTTTTTCAGCGTTGCAAATTAAATACTACACAGATCATTTAAGTGAAAAAGGAACTACAAAGGATGGTAGTTCCTTTATACTCCAAAGGTTCTATTTATGCATAGAAATAAAAACCTACCCATTGGACTATGTTTCGGCAATTTAGACCAAAGCTTTCATTTGATATTGCTTCTTGACCAGACATTAGTTCAAGGAGAATTACACCAAAACTATAAACATCACTCTTGTCTGTCAGCTGTTGGGAAATATAGTACCTGTCAAAGAAAAAGTTAGTCATGCAAGCCAAAATCAAGAAACAATAAATTTAGTTTTTGCTCGAACACACAAATTCACTTAAAATAGATAAAGGCCTTACTCAGGATCAAGATATCCTACTGTTCCCCGAACTATGCTTGAAACATGTGAGACTCCATCAACAGCAAGTTTTGAAAGACCGAAATCAGAAACCTTGGCTTTCATGTGCTTGTCGAGAAGAATATTGCTGCTTTTTAAGTCTCTATGAATAACGACAGGAACACAACCCGTATGAAGATATTCAATACCTGAACAACCATGAGAATAATACATTTAGCATCATGTGATTGATCATAAGAGAAGGATCATTCAATCAGAAAAATTAGAGGAAAAGTGGTTTTATATTCTAAAAGCACTAGCTTAACAATACCTTTGGCAGCATCTTCAGCAATCTCAAGACGCTTAATCCAGTTGATGCTTCTTCCATTGGCTAATGGACCTACAAGAAAATATTAGACACAAATGAACATATGAATTTCTGCTCCTTGATTTAAGTCATGCAGGCTTACCATAAAGATGTTCTTTGAGAGTGCCATTATGCATGAACTCATAGACAAGCATACTATTCTCTTCATCTCGACAATAACCAAGCAGCTGTACCAAATTTCTGTGGTGTATTCTTGAAAGAAGAGTTACCTGGATCAAAGGAAAACATCATACCAATTACGATAGAATTAGTAAGAAAGTAGCAACTTTTTTGTATTTAATGATTTATTTAGAAAAAATAAAAGGCTGAAAAGAAGATAGAGAAAAAGGGGAAAAATATGGAATATAAGTTACCACCTTTATTCAGATGTCAAACAAAAAATAGAGAAAATTATTAGAAAACTGAAGACTACAAATTCATTTTTTATTTTCTCTCCACCCTTTCTTTGGAAAGGTAAGATTATATGTAATAGAAGTAATCCAATGGTAGTGGTTTTTCTTTCAATTTTTTTTAAAATAAACTGCTTCAAGAACATCATTGTATGAGCAGCAACCAGCATATCCATTCATTTAGTTCTTCTGAAGTAGATAAAAAACCTTTCCGCTAATTAAAGCACAACCAATTTATATTTATTAAGGGTTTGCTACATCAACTTTCTGTCAGTCCATGCATTATTTCAATTGTTGATAAATCTGTTTTACTTCTATGATACAAAGCAAAAACCAAAAGATCACAAAATGAAATGCCATGCCACAGAAAGCAAAACAATAAGTGATAGAGTAATGCTAGAATACTTATAGAGGTTAATTAAATGCAGGTTACCTCATTCGAGAACTCTCGCTTGCCTTGATAGGAATTACTGGTTAAAACTTTAACTGCTATCTCTTTTCCATCTTTTAGCTTCCCGTAGTAGACAACTCCAAAACCACCGGCACCAATTTTTTTCTCGAAGTTATTTGTAGCATTTTCAATTTCAGAAAAACTGAAGCAGTGAGCAGCTTCTGCAGGATCATCGTTCTTCCAAGAAGCCAGCCTTTGAGCAGGGAGAGAATCAGCTCGGTCTATGAAAAGTGTAAATGTATAAATCATGATCTATCATCTCAAAGATCAAACAGACACAATAAATGGTTGTGTTTAGATTCTACCTTGCTGATAATATTTCCTCTTGCCTTTGCGCATATACAGGCAAGATATAACAGTAGCCAAAAGTAGAACAGAAGCCCCAACTGATGAACCAATAATTACGTACATATGCCCCTTTATTTTGCTTTCTTTGTGAAGATTGAGGTTTCCAGAGTAGCTGACGAGGATGACAGGAAAAAAGTAGAGGTTATCAAATATAAATGAAGAGAGAATTAGAATATTTGCAACACAAGAATAAAAGATTTGTTATGATACAGGAAACATATTATTAACTAGAGATCTGAAGTAATAGCATTCCAAAAGGATACAAAATTTAAGTATATTAAGTTGAACTTGAAAAAGAATGTAGCATTCGATATTAACTAAGATTAGCTGACAGATACGAAACTGTTTATCTAAGCAATCAAAGCAACACGATATCCATCTGAAAGTCAGAAACCAACATATTGAATGAAAA